CAAATTTGAAAATTTTCGTCGCACCATCAAAATTCGCCGCAGATCTGTGTTGCGCGCGCAATGCGTGCGGCGCCAACTGGTATCTTATAATAGCCAGTACGTTACGTTTTCGTAAGATGACTGTACTAGAACATTTTAAAGGAGGATTTTACGATTAGAATGGAAGGTCGAGGAAGAAGTAATTGACCTAGTTGAGGGACCCACGGACCTCCTGAGGGTGCGAACTGATGCGCAATTCGCATCGAAAAATTTGACCTCGGCGACCTATTATGCCTCAAAGTTGGCGGGTCTGGCGATCTCCGCCCACCGACCAGCTGATCACTCGCCGCAGTCTATACGTGGCGAGTGATTAGATAGCAGAGAGAGCGTAGTGTTGAAGAGGGCACAGCGATGAGAGTCGCATCAATGCTCAAATCAACGGGCAAGGAAGGGGTCCCATTTCTCGGGTTCTGGGCCGTTTCTCATGGTTCTTCCTTCTTTCGTGTACCACTCACCATCCCTAGGTTAATTTGAAATGGGTTGCTTTTTCATCGTGAATTCGTCCTTTAAGCCGCTCCCCTCAAAATAAGCTTTCAAATGAATCAGCGAATTAGAAGGGCGCCCGAGGCGTGGCGCGCACCAAGGCAAGGGATGTAGTGCAAGCGCATGCTCGAAGCTTTCTAGCACATCCTAAGTTAAACATGACATTGGTCTTCCAAGAAGTTACGGGCAGTGAAACCTAAGAAAACCCGCGTTTTCGGGAAAATGGCTTGAAGAATACCCCTCAAAAAAAGTAACAACGGGACTAATTTTTGAACTGCTGACTTTTCAGGAACGTTTGGTGCTCGTTAGAAAGCTTGAATCCTGTAGTTTATTATACCGTGTTCAGCTTCCCAAATGAATGACTTTGAAGGAAGTTATGATCGTTTGAAGGTAAAAAAGTCGCGGTTCCAAAAAAATAGTAACGCAAACCCAAAAAAGTAACAACGGGACTAATTTTTGAACTACTGATCTTTCAGGAACGCTTGGGTGCTCGTTAGAAAGCTTGAATCCTGTAGTTTATTATACGTGTTCAGCTTCCCAAATGAATGACTTTGAAGGAAGTTATGATCGTTTGAAGGTCAAAAAGTCGCTTTGCACAGAAAAAAGTAACAACGTACTAAATTTTTATTAAATTAACTTTCGAAGAATTTTTACCCATGGTTGGAGAGAGAATAATTTGAATTTTCCAAATCAAATCACTTCGGCGCAGAAGCTCGAATATGAAGGAAGTTATAGCCTTAGAAAGAGGGGTGTAAAAATTGTGTTGCAATTGAAGAACGTGAAGGATTTCAGTATTTCAATTGGAGCGATAATTTTTTCTGACTTCTCATAAGTTTTTATCAGGTAATATTGTCAATATTCCGGTCACTGGTTCAGTTTATTTCATCTCCTAGTTTGGTAACCCTTTGGAGTACACGGATATCTTTGAATGCATCTCATTTTTCGTGTTTGGAAGCAGCGATGAATATCTGTCGTGGATTTTGCTAAAGTTTCATCTTTGATGACTTACGTAGAAATAAATATTGATGGTAAACACTGTCTCTACACAAGTGTCACATACAAGGGGGGGTCGTATCAAATCACCCATGAAGGGGGGGGGTCGTAAAAAATTTCCAAAGAGTAACAACGATAGGGTTGACCCTGCCTCTACCCCATTTCCGATGAGCTAACATTTATTGTAAATTCTTCCTTTAACGTGGAAGGGACTGTAATGGCAGCGTACCTTCCGAGTTTGATCATGTTCTCAGTTAATTTTTCTTCGTTGCTCATTCTGCAATGACATGGCAGTCAAAACCTCATCATACTTATAATTACTCGATGTCACACAGTAATATTGAATGTTTTCAAAATTCCTGATTGTGAACGACATTACTACAGCAGCAGACAAAAACAGATGCCTGAGTGCACAACAAGCGACGTATTGTGGTTGGCACTTCACATCACTGCGTTCGGCCACGTCATGCCACCGAACTCTCCTGGGAGTTTAACGCATTAACAATATTAAACAGGAGTGTTCCAAAATAATGACGCCACATCACTTTGAAGAGCATGCATGATTGTAGAAGCAATGAGCGAATCGGGGAGAGACACTATGTGTTTACTTCGACTTGATCTTGTAAGATAGTCGCACACTCACTAGGATTTAACTATTCAAGCATTGACATTTAAAGGCACGCTCCGCGATCTGGCGGGCTCGCCTGTTCCATCCAGGGGGTAGTAGGCAGGTGGACAAGTGTTGATGTCGCGCCCCTTTTGCCGCTTGAAAGTGCGCGACAAAGGCGCAAGGAGCTCGTCCGACCCGCAACTCACACCTTCGTCCGCAAGCCCCACCCTCCGCTGTCGGTTGCCACGTGGCGCTGCTTGAAAAGCGCGGGCGCATTTGAGGCAGCGGTCCCATTGCGATCCAATGTTATTGGCACTGGAGCAACTAGAGTTAGGTTCGTGAAACTCGTCCAACGCGCCTCTTCTCTATCCCAAGGTGGAATGTGGCTGAAATAGGGGAGGTCTCTGTACGGGGCGTAATCGGTGGTTTCGTTTGCTTTCCTTCTCTTTTACAGACCACCTCCCACCTATAGCTTCATAACTGAACGCTTTTCCACACCTATTTTATCCCGAATCTTGCCTTTAAAGGCGAAATGAAGGCACGTTCCGCGACAGCAGCAGATAGCAGAAACGGCGCTAAATGGATTCAAATATGGAATGCTAGATGTTATCTGACTTATTGTTGGCAGTGAAGAAAATAAACTCTTCAGCAATCAATACGCCCTTTTCTTCACTGGATTGTAGGAGAGTGGTGGACAAAAAGTCCGATATTCGGGGAGCCGAGGCGCCAGAACGATAGATGAGAAAAGGGGGCACAGTGGAGTGTGGGAACCCGACACCGCAACGGTGACCTTAGAACTGCTAAATTTGATGCTCTCGTCTGCTCTCCCCCGTTTAAGCAGTGGTTCATGACTACTATGAACTCACTTTTTCAAACATTTATCCTAAAATTGGCTCACCCTCCCGGGAGTCCCTAGCCTCTCCAAGGCTAGGCCCTAGAGCTCTCACTTTCCTCCTTGAGATTAAAAGCCTCGCCACGCGCTCTTCTCAATCTCTGGCCATTCGCGGCAAAAAAGGAAAGTTCAAGTAGCCACGTAACTCACTGCGCAAGCGCTAACATCATCACATTTGGTAAATCATGACAGCCACAATTCTCTTAATGTCCGGCATTAACCCTTTGACGACAATGGCACCCACCGGTGGGTGCCACTATGTTCGCCGCGTGGGACAATGGCACCCAATGGTGGGTGCCACCTTAAAATTTCCTTCTTTGTGCATTTAAAACATTTGTAACACCCCAATAATTATAAGCAAGTTCCATAATATCTATGACTAGCACGGCTTACAGAAATGTTTATTAAGAGCTAATTTATATAGAATTTTAGAATGTGCCATTTAGCTCGCCAGCATATTAATTGGGGTTTTGCATTATTAGGCTGAAGATTAATTACTAATCAGGACTTCTTCGTCTTCTCATAGCCCTCAGATATGGGAAGGGGTTTGAAGTGTATCGAAAATTCTCTTGACACTTAAACTTTTAGAGGTTTTGCCCTCCTTCCCTTCAAAACCCGAGTTGTCGCGAAACACGAACATCCGCTCCAACAGAACCCTGGGCGCGCCGGTGCCTGCGAAGTACTGCCGACATGACCCAGCCTGATCTCTCCGTGATCGTGCGGCAACGCACGGGCCGTTCGCAACGGCACCATCACGGCCTGGCCTGGTGTTCCCTTCGTCTTCGGGTTCTTCCCCTGCTTCGTATTCTTCGGCAGACTCGTAGGGCTCTAGCCCTTAGATTACTAACCTTTTATATTTATTTCATTCATGATTTTCGGTTGAGTAGTTCAATAGAATGAATTAGAAGTTAAGACATAAATTTTAATAGTTCTGTGTGTTTGCGTCGTGTAGCAATATGGGTGTAAGCCCGACACTTATATTTGTTGGTATTTAAACTAGTGTTGCTTAGGTCGCTCGGTAGGACTCAAAGTAGGATGTAGTATGGTTAGTTGTTAGTACCACTTGCGCCCCAGTAGGTGTTACTGCAGAGCCGGCTGGTAGGCTGTCAATGCTTTATCTCTTATTTGGCTCCTGGTTTTCCCCCTTGGGCGCCCTAAGTCTCCTCCTGGACCCACCGATCGCCAAAGAGGAGCTTGGTCCCGTGAGCAAACTACGTGCGAATTCGCATTGTCGTCAAAGGGTTAAACGAGAACTACCTTCAGTGTTAATTTTTATAAATCTAGCAAAGTAGTGAAACGATTCTAAGCAGTGGCATTTTGATGGTTGCAAGCAAGATCAAATTCAGGGGAAGTATATTTAGGATTGTATAATAGTTAGAGGTAACTCAGCGACAATATGCGTTTCAATCTCCTACGGTGGTAGCAAACTGGAGTGCAGCAGCCAGGTTCACCCAAATACTAGCAAGGTTGATCGTTCAAAGGTCACGATCAGTAAATATATGCATTGACGTGTTTCGATGTAGTCTTATAAGTTGTGAGAATGTATAAAGCTAATCAAGCGAAAAGTTATGACACCGCGATAATCGATATTAACATAACTTCTTTAATTCGACAACCCGGCGGAATTTGCAACCTATAGGGCGTCTGGTACGATTGATCACAAGTGAAGTTCATGAAAAAAAAATTTATGAAGCAATAGGAGGAGGAACAAAAAGAATCCCTTGACAACAATAAATAAAAAGTACCCATGATCACTCAAAAACAACAAAAAAATATGCTAGATTATTTTAAAGAGTGCTAGAGGCTTTTGAATAACAGCTGAGAATGTATTACATGACCGGAAACAGACAGACAACAAAAAAATCAATTTCAAATATGCCGGCAGTTTTGGGAAAAACAAAATCATTTGAACATTGTGGGATTCCACTTTTGCACATTAAACAACTGCCACCTGATTCGAAACTGACCAATTATCAACTATTACTAGTGCTTCTTAGTCGTATAAGTGGCCGGAAACTTAACAACTGCTTGTCCTTCCGCTTGGGACAGTCTCAGATAACCAGCATTTGGCACTACGTTGTATCTGTAACGAAGAAGCATTTTGCAGTTGAAATTAGTTCAAGACTGCGGTCATAGTTTGCGAGCCACCTACTGCGGTGTCTCGTGCGACCACAGAATCGCATGGTCAATACCCTCGCCTTCAAATAACCAGAAATTGTGCAATTGCAGAAATTGACGTGGCATTAACGTGGCATCGATTCAAGAACATCTTTGAGCACACGTGATGTCACCTTTTCATCGAGAATTTAGCAGCCAGAAACCACGTGGCACACGTGGCTAAATTCTCGATGAAAAGGTGACATCACGTGTGCTCAAAGATGTTCTTGAATCGATGCCACGTTAATGCCACGTCAATTTCTGCAATTGCACAATTTCTGGTTATTTGAAGGCGAGGGTACGTATCTACTCTACACGCGAACTGTACGACGGCTGTAAATTATGACCGCGTCCTAACAAGTTGACCAGTTTCACAGCGACGCAGCAGAGCTACGACACTTGTGAGCGTGTTTATCTCAAATGAAGATTCTAAAGCCCTTCTCATGAAATATGGTCCAGATTATAAAAGTTGTCGTAGTGAGCACAAGTACTCAAAATTCAAAAACTTGCACTAACCTCAAAACAAGAGTGACATTCGGATGGTTGAGCAAATGGGTGCCGTCATCTAAGAAATAGTATTTGCTTTGAAGGCGGCGTTCATCGAGCACAACTCGTTCACTCCGCAACACGATTTTATCCCAAAGAACCACCTGATTCAAAGCCTAAACACATTAGTCTAAATTGCTATGATTTACTTCCTCGTTTAATCAAAACATTACCATTATACATATTTATGGCGCTCATCTCACAGCTACAATATCGTAAACCAGCTACAATTTCACGCCAACTCTTACTCAAATTATAATACAAAAAGGGCAGCGTTGAGGGAAACATACCAAAACTAGCCTTCCGGAACGGGAAGCCCTTCAAATGTAGTATGTATTATGCACTATTAACGATTTTCAGATCATGAATTGCATAGTTTTAAAAACTTCGGAACGTTTGTACCCGAATCGAATGGGAGAGGATTCTACTTCCACGAACCCCTGAGGAGAGCAATAGTACGGGTGCAACGCTGAGACAGAAAGCGACTTTTTGACTTTTCGCAGGGCGAGGCTTTTTTTCCTGCGAACTTCTTACCGTAAGTGGATCTGGGGTTCCTAAAAGCGAGAAAGTCGTTCTCTGTCCTGGCGAACTACACTCAATAGTACAGGTGAGAAATGCGTGAGAAGAACTAACAGCGCTTTCAAACTGAATGCATTCAATCTGTTCTACTGCACCTTTGGTGACTAGAAGCTGGGTAAAATAGATTTTCATCAACGAGAATAAACCAAATTGTCGACTCCACCACTCACGTTTTCGCAAGCAAGATAAAATCAGGAAAATATCTATATTACTAGATGCTTACAATAGTTGGAGGGTTAATCGCGAATAGCGTTCAATCTCCACAGTCGAGCAAATTGGAGTCCAGCGCCAGTCGTTCACCCCTAAATAACTAGCAACGCTTGTAATCTCAAAAGTCCGACCATAAATATAGCACTTTGACGTGTTCGTGTAATCTCATAAGTGTGAGTATGTATAACAATCAAGCGAAAATTATTGACACCCGATATTCGAAGTTAAATACCCTAATTTCCGGTGTATAAGCCCGCGCCGATTTCACGTAAAACCACCCCCGCTCGCGCAGTGTAACTTTGTACACCTTAGAAACCACCGCAAATTTGCCTATAGAGGTAAGTCGATGCCCTGATCACGAAAATGACTTTCATTTTCAGCGCTGGCGCCATCTGGCGCCAGTTGGCGCCACCTTGTCACGACCCTTGTTTTCGTCAAAATCGGTGTAAACTTCAGTATAGGGGTTATTTGGGACCCTGATTACGAATATGACATTCATTATAGGCGCTGGCGCTGTTTGACGCCTATTTTCTGCTCGTCTGCGCTCTCCAACCGAGACATGTGCACTAAACAACGTTAACGCCAAAAACGAATGTCATATTCGTAATCAGGGTCCCAAATAACCCCTATACTGAAGTTTACACCGATTTTGGCGAAAACAAGGGTCGTGACAAGGTGGCGCCAACTGGCGCCAGATGCCGCCACCGCTAAAAACGAATGTCGTTTTCGTGATCAGCATATCGAATTACCCCTATGGGCATGTTACGGTTGACTCTAGATGTACTCAAGTACACTGCACCAGTGGAGGTGTTTTTACATGATACTAGCGCGGGCTTATACACCGGAAAATAGGGTAACTTTATTTACCAAGGCGCGAATTGCAAACCTATAGGGCGTCGGCACGATTGATCACAAGTGAAGTTCATGAAAAAAAAATTTATGAAGCAATAGGAGGAGGAACAAAAAGAATCCCTTGACAACAATAAATAAAATCATACTGATCACTCAAAACAAACAAAAAAAATATGCTAGCTATTATGTTAAGATGCTAGAGGACTTTTGAAATAACAGCTAGATGTATTACATGACCGGAAACAGACAGACAACAAAAAAAATCAATTTCAAATATGCCGGCAGTTTTGGGAAAAACAAAATCATTTGAACATTGTGGGATTCCACTTTTGCACATTAAACAACTGCCACCTGATTCGAAACTGACCAATATCAACTTATAAACTAGCATACATTATCGTATAATGCCGCGAAACTTAACAACGCTTTCCTTCGCTTCTGACAGTCTCAGAATAACGATTTGGCACTACGTTGTATCTGTAACGAAGAAACATTTTGCAGTTGAATTAGTTCAAGGACTGGCGGTCATAGTTTGCGAGCCACCTACTGCGGTGTCTCGTGCGACCACAGAATCGCATGGTCAATACCCTCGCCTTCAAATAACCAGAAATTGTACTATTGCAGAAATTGACGTGGCATTAACGTGACATCGCAAGAACATCTTTGAGCACACGTGATTTCACCTTTCAAATCGAGAATTTAGCAGCCAGAAACCCACGTGGCACACGTGGCTAAATTCTCGATGAAAAGGTGACATCACGTGTGCTCAAAGATGTTCTTGAATCGATGCCACGTTAATGCCACGTCAATTTCTGCAATTGCACAATTTCTGGTCATTTGAAGGCGAGGGTAGTCGAGATCCGAAAGTTGGGGTAGGCGTGTCACCGGAAGTGACGTGCACTTGATAGAAGTTGCGTGATAAGCTGTTGCCAGCATGCTTTGCTGATATCCAGCGATGTATATTGGAAGCAGCTTACCACAGCTTCTATCAAGTGCACGTCACTTCCGGTGACACGCCTACCCCAACTTTCGGATCTCGAGTATACTATCTTCTACACGCGAACTTACGACGCTTGTAAACTATGACGCGTCCTAACAAGTTGACCAGTTCACAGCTACCAGCCAAGAAGCTGCCGAACTGGGAGCGTGTCTATCTCAAATGACGATTCTAAAGCCCTTCTCATGAAATATGGTCCAGATTATAAAAGTTGTCGTAGTGAGCACAAGTACTCAAAATTCAAAAACTTGCACTAACCTCAAAACAAGAGTGACATTCGGATGGTTGAGCAAATGGGTGCCGTCATCTAAGAAATAGTATTTGCTTTGAAGGCGGCGTTCATCGAGCACAACTCGTTCACTCCGCAACACGATTTTATCCCAAAAATACCTATTCAAAGCCTAAACACATTAGTCTAAATTGCTATGATTTACTTCCTCGTTTAATCAAAACATTATCATTATACATGTTTATGGCGCTCATCTCACAGCTACAATATCGTAAACCAGCTACAATTTCACGCCAACTCTTACTCAAATTATAATAAAAGCAGCGTTGAGGGAAACATACCAAAACTAGCCTTCCGAACGGGAAGCCCTTCAAATGTAGTATGTATTATGCACTATTAACGATTTTCAGATCATGAATTGCATAGTTTTGAAAACTTCGGAACGTTTGTACCCGAATCGAATGGGAGAGAATTCGCCTTCAGGGTCAACCGTTACGTTGGACCGATATTGGAGCGACGTTGGACCGATGTTCACCGCTCTCCGCGCCGGCATTCACTCTCGCCACCCGCGAGCCGTCTGTGTCTCCGTGCGTACGTTCACTCTCGGCATTACTCTCGTCGTCGCGTTGGACTTTGTCCAACGGACGGTTGACCCTGCCCAAACCCTGGAGGAGACAATCAAGTGGGTGCACACCTGAGGACAGAAAGCATATCTGGCTCTTTCCAGAGCGCAGCTCCCTGGAACTTCTTACACGATAAGTGGACTCCTCCAAGAGCGAGAATAGTCGTCTCTTTCCTGCCGCGACTACACACATAATACAGTGGGAAAGGTGAGAAGAACTAATAGCCGCTTTTAACTGAATGCATCAAGCTCTCTACTGCACCTTTGTTGAATAGAGCTGGGGTAAAAGATATTTCACAACACGAAGAATAAACCAAATTGTCGACTCAACATCACGCTTTCTGTGTCTCATATTCGGCAACAAGATATACGAACAGCTGTTTCACATTCCAGTTGAAAGTCTTGGTGAAATCTCCAGTGATGGTGAAGTCCAGCATTCCCAAATCAGCTTTCTCTGATGAAGACGAGTAGTCAGCAATCGAACGCCTACGATACAATATTATATAATATCTTTACTTACGAAGACGAGAAAGATAAAAATTACAGATACCTGACGTAAAGTCAAAGGCTGGCTAATATAGCTGTCTTTGTTGCAACAGCTACCCTCTTCGCAGGTAATATTCAATTTTCGTGCATTTTATGCCAGGATAATACAAATATGCCTTTTGTCTTGATAGATGAGTCATTAAATTCACTACCACTTAGCAATTAAACTAACGCAAATGAAGACAGTGACTTCGTTCAATGAAAAGAAAACGACCGTAGCATTCCAGGGGCACATGTTCGTGGGCCATAACATCTCCCTTGTTATCCAATGGATAAGCTCAGTATCTCATCCCACCTCTACAGCCGAAAGTAATGAAGTCAGGTAACATACAGATAGCCCGATAAAGCTCTCAGATGGAACAATTGTGCAGACTATGCAATCCCTGGCGCCGGTGCACAACATGGGCCAAACTCACTAAACGTAAATCTCGTGCATGAGCAGGATCAACCGTCACGTTCGAACATTTTCGGGATTTTTGCGACCCCCTAGCTCTCGAGGGGGTCCAGTTGCGACCCCCTGTTTTTGTTAATAAGAGTGCTAGACATGAATCCGTTGCGCCAGAAAGCGTCTGCGCGTCGTCGCGTCGGCCTTGGAGCGCGGCAGGTATCACCCGGGCGCTGGAAGAACGGGACGCGGCGAAGAAAAATTTTTAGAGGGGAATAACTTTCTTGGGACGTATTTTTTTGACTTGTTGAGGTAGATTTTGATTGTGCCTGAGGTGCGCTTCCAGAAAACTACAAGGATTGCCTAACTCTCCGGAAAGTACTTCTGTTAGAAGTGGAAAACCCAAAATTCTAAGAAGGCGCACCTTCAACTTTGAAGGCCCATAAAATCTTTCGTATGCGACATTTTGGAAATCTGTAAAAAGTTTCAGAAACTTCAAATATTTCTCTAACAAAATAGTATAAAAAGTTTGTGATTGTCCCCTTTTTCAAAAAATTGTCCCGTTCGAACATTTTTCGTGCAAAAGCGAGTTTTTGGGCTTTCAGCGACCATAACTCACTTCATTTTCATTTCTGTGATGCACTTTTTCATGGGGTGAAAGTACAGGATTTGCTCTTTCTAAAAGCTCCAAACCGTTTTTCAAAATCCATTTTCCGAGAAAATCACACGTTCGAACATTTTGTTCCCATAGGTTTTTGAGCAGCACATGCGAGTTTTTGAGCTTTCAGCAATAATAACTTCCTTCAAAGAACTTGTTGGAGGAGGGTCGAAGACATTTTGAAGACTAAATTCTTCTTTCTTACGGTGCTTACCGTTGTGAAGTATCGTCCTCAGAAAATCAGGTCCCGAAGAACTTTAATTTCAGCCCCGAGAAGTCAAACCTTTCATAGGGATGCATTCAACTGTTCTTTATTCCTCAAGGAAAACACCGTAATTTGCCTAAAACTGTCTCTCTGTGCATAATTAATCGAATCTAATGCGGTCTGCACAAACAATTCTTGCCCTCGGATACGCCACGCACGCGCCTGTGGCTGGCAGTCCTCGAAATTGCGACCCCCTTCCGACCAAAATGCGACCCCTTCGTTCGAACAGTTCGAACGGACGGTTGACCCTGGTCTCCAGTACGTTCAGGGAGCTTT